TTAAATGAAAGCATAGGCTTTACAGCCCATGATAGATTTAGGAATCCATAAAAAATATAGTTACAATGAGTCTTCATAGCCTAAAATCATAGGGACTTTAAAGATCATTGCATTCAATGTGTTTCCTACTAATGGAGGGCTTCTCCTCTACAGTATTGTGGTCCAGCAGTCAACTTTCAATCTCTGAACCCCTCCAACGCTTTGCTAGTTAGAGGCAGTAATTCACGTGATTAGTAAGTTTCTCAATTTCGCATAGTCACTGTGAGGCTCATCTGTTATATGTACAACATTCTAAGTGCCAAGTGCTAAATATGCTTAAGGTACACCTTTATTATGCTGGACTGAAATCTCCCTCCCTGTAATCGCCATCCATTGCTCCAAGTTCTGCCCTCTAAAGCAAATCACCGTTAAGTATGATCTCTCTACCATGAAGGAGTGCCTCTTGCATTTGCAGGCAGCTGGAAGTATTCTCCAAGTTAAACCTAACCAACTGTTCCTCCTATGTCAATTTCAAGACTTCTATTTTGGCCACCCTTTTTTTGGACACTATCCACTTGCCTATATCCCTCTTAAAATACAACACGCAAAATAAAAACAAATATTTGAATCCTTCAAGTCTCAGCTTCTGAGAACATTTAGACACATACAGACTAGAACAGGGCTCCTATCTATTAATACCTTGATGAATACACAACACTGCTATTGCTGCAACTAAAGCTAGAATAGGTTTTTTAAGTTGTTATGTTACCCTTTTGCCTGTCAAACTTATGATCAAATAAAATGTTTTTATCTTTTTCAAAGAGGGTCAAAGTACCCTCGCTCTGAGGATATGTGTATATATAAATGATTCACCAAAGTGTTAACCTTAGATAATAATTATATTCTTTTTCTGCCAGGTCTCCCTATTTTATCCTTTGTAAACTTCTTTGTTTCTCCAAACATAAATAACAGAATGTCCTAAATTTTATCTCTTAGGTTCTGGCCCCTTATTTCAGCCTATCAAGATAATTTTGAACATTTATTCTATTAGTCAATATACTGGCTGCCCCTGCCTATTTATAAAGTAACAGACAACATCAACCCTTAAATACAGCAACCACAAGTTAAACAATCATTTCCATATGTATAGGTGTTTCTTTGATTTTTTTTAATCTATTAGCAAAACTGTCAAACTTTATTACTCTTATAAAGTTAATCTGCTCACAGATTAAGGTAAGTGTGGCATTATTTAGCATCACTTTGCAAAGAATTATGCATATTACACAAAATAACCAATCTAGATTTTTTTGTTTAATTTCAGAATATTACAGGGGTACAAATGTTTTGGTTATGCAAATTGCTTTTGTACTGTTTGAGTCAAAGTTATAAGTGTGCTAAATATTTATTTTCTGAAAAACTCACTTTACCTGGTTGATGAACAACTTTTCCAATTTTATGTTCTTCTTCTTCCTCTTCCAAAATGAAACCTCCTCCTGTGTCAATTATCTTTGGGGCTGCTTTTACATTAGCCATTCCTATAAAAAGTAAGTAAAAATGGTCAACAATCAAACTTGATAAGCCCATATGTTCCCTTGTGCACAAATAGGAAATTTCTTTAAATTCAATATACAGGAGGTCCCCAGGTTACAGACAAGATACGTTCCTAAGAATGTCTTTAGGTAGGATTTGTACGTAACTCAGATCCCTGATGAACAAAGCATATACGGTAATAATAATAATAATG